AATTCAAAAAGCTCACGGTGTGCTCACTTTTCACTCCCCAAACGCTCGGAATTTTCTTAGAGTGCACGAGGTGCATCCACAGCTGATGGTGTCCGGAATGTCAAAGAAAACGGGAATATCACGTTCGTGATATAAGACTTGATTTTCTTGGGGGGGAGGGGGAGGAAGAAGGAAGGACTGGAGGAGGTCCCTGTTTTCCTTCTCAAACAGCCAGCACCGCAAGAATTGCACCGGGATAATGAGTGAGGGCCATCAGAATTGTGGAAACTCCTTGGCACACTTCTCTCTGGAGGAAACGCGCCGTGTGTTAGTTGCAGGAAGAAATTCCAAGGAGCCATAATAATGCGGTTGATGACGAGGTCTTCCATGAAGATAGAACACTAGAATCCATCACTTTGCATCTCGTCGGAGACTTTCCTATCGTCGAGACGAAACAAACCAAATATCCAGAGAAGTTGAAGAAGGTTGAGGGCGTTCTGAAGAGGAAGTTTGGACTCAGATAACAAAAACAAAAGAGGCGAAAAGGTACAAGTCCTGACAATTCCCTTTGCAAAATCTGGAACCATAAAAATGATTCCAGCGGAAACAGCCGATGTCGTCAGGAACTTGATGATTTTTTTTAAATAGTTATTTCTGCGAGAGGTTGAACGTTTTCCTCTCACTCGTTCATTGCGAGACTTCAATCTTCTATCCAAACGTGGGCGAAATTTAAGCTTGCAAGCGCTGGAAATCTCAGTCACCTGCGACTTCTCAGGTTATTAAATTTTCAGGTTTTCATCGGAACAACTCGCAAGCGACCATCCGACCATTTCTGGCGTGTTACTCCGGCAAATCCCTGCATGAACCCCATCAACTTCCTGAATTTGGTTTTTCTTCGACGGAAAATCTCCTACTTCTCTGATGGATCCGCTTCGGACTACTGAAACCGGAAAATTTTCCACAACTTCTGCATGAGGTTCTTCGAACGACGTTTCTCATTCGTGACCGATATCTGGCAATGGCAAAACAGGAAAGTTTGGAATCCATAGTTGTTTAATTTAATCGGTGTCGTGACCGTATCCCCCTTTGGCACAACAGTTTCTCAACACCTTTCTAATGGACTTTGGGCATCTGAGAACATCCAACCCCCACCCATAATGGAGAAGGGTCAATCCCAAGTGCCCAAATTGACGGTGAAACAGAAGGAAATTGCACTTTCTGAAGTAAAACTGAGAGCGGCATCCATTATTGCTTCGTACATTCAGTCACGTTTTGGCTGGGACTGTTTTAGTCAGATCTTTTTCCTGGTATTCTTCTTCATTTCATATTTTAGGGGGGGAAATGATTTTCGATCAACTTGATAAAGGCTTAAAAAAAAAACCGTGACGTTAATCTAAGAAATTGAAAAATAAAGAATTTTTTTCCCCCTTTGTTTTGTATTTTGGAAACCAAGCTAAAACAGGGTGAGAATCGTGTCGGACTGCTCCCCAAAGCGGTACGTGATTGCTTTTTTCTTATTTTTTTTCACAGAAACAGGAGTTTCTTCGGAGAGAAATAGCAATTATAAATGGCGAAAACTACTTGCGATACTTCTTTTAATATTTTTTTAAGGCAAACACGTTATTATTTTTCTCTTGCCAAAATGCGATTGCCCATAATCCCCAGTAACTAAGATCACCTAATCTTCAGTCGCCATTTGCATTTCTCGTTGACAACATGGCCAATGGAAAACAAAACAGACAAGCCTTCGCGATTGAAAGGAAAATGTGCTTGATTAATTTAATAGAAAGAGCTCGAAGCAAAGCTAACGTCGCTCCCGAACATAGACATCTGTTCATCTGTTTCCACAATTTGGGAAAATCGTGACAGCTTCATCTGTGTTTATGGAAACATTTCACAAAACAAGAAACTTCTTAGGAAACTTCAAGAAACTTCGAGATGACATCGACGAAACCTTGCTAAAATATAAAGTAGTTTAAGGTCCAAAGAAGTGCGAACACGATTAGTGGGTCAATCTTGAAACTGAAGCAAGCGTAGTATGACCGATGTAAACTGGAGTTGTAACGTTATATAGCATCAATTTTGAAAACAGGAAAACGGAGTGCCAATAAAGGCAACCTCGGTTATAACGACGGTTTTTACCTGGTCCCTTCGATGACGTTATAATCGAGTTCGACTGTAGATGAAGAGCCGTGAGTCTTGAACACCAGAGATTTACGTACGCACTCTGGGACGAAAGTTGGGGGGGGGGGGCTGAAGCCCCCCCAGCCGCCCCCCTCGCTACACCACTGCATTGGAGAAAGAAATTTATGGAGAAACTTCTCTCCCAAATACAAGTACCTGAAATTCGCATCATCCGAGTTATTCGTGTAGACCTACAAAATTCGAACTTTCAAACTCATCTAAAACATGGATAGAATTAAAACCAGTCACTGACTCACTCGATCACGCTCATCCTATGCTAGAAAATAGAGGGACGATCCGATACTTTGGGAGTGGGTTATCATTCCTTCACATCAAAATGAAGTGTTTCAAGCCTCTTTGAGACTTTAAAACGGGGGTGTCCGAACTTAATTTTTGCCGCATCTTATTCGGACATCCACATTATAATCGGTAGTCATAAGGGTAGGAAGGACATCTTTATATCACTCAGACCTCCTAGTGCTGTGCTCCCAGGAGCAAAAAATGAAGCTTCCAACTTTTACTATTGAGATGGGACGATGAGGCTCGGCCAACTTAACTGTCCAAACATTGTGCTATTTTGGAGTAGGGTAAAACCCCCAGAGTGCCACACAGGAATTTGACAGAGACGTTGCTCAGGGACTAGGTATGAACAATTTGCTTCTGTTTCATCAAGTGAGATTGTTAATAAATGTTAGAGAAAAAATGAAAAACTGCAAATACAGCGTATCTTGGAGTGGCACAAGCAACTTCCTAACCTGCATTTAAAGTGGCTCCATGGTGAGTCTGTCCATATCAGTCATCTGGTGCGAAATGCATACGCACAGCAAAATAAAAGTTAGGAACCATCGGTCATATATTTTTCAAGCAACACAAGATCACCAGGAACTGTTCATTTCTTGAACCCTCCTCTTGCTTTGTTCTAGCAGTCATCGAAAATGCGATGAAATCAACAAATAAAGATGCAGACGAACACCAAAATGCATTCCAATTATGTCTTCCCTGATGAGGATACAGAAGCGAATCACAAATGCAAAAAAATGAGATGATGATGGCCACAGAATATCACATTTGCACTCGGGTCATCTAAAGCACCGGCTCGGCGTAGATGCGATCAACCCTACTTGTGTTCAAAGAGAGGCTGCAAGATATGCAAACTAGAGTATTGGTGAAGGCACCCATGCAGAATTCTGCATGTACTTAACATTCACGACCAACATTTCAAGACTAACAACTGGTTATTCTCCAACAGATAGGAGAATTTCAGGTAAAAAAGATTTAAGGATTCCCTGATAAGAGAAATATCATTTCCTGCCTGGTCAGGTCTTTGCTAAGATTTCTGCACGAAAGAGGATGGAAAGCAAGACGAGAGAAAGGTATCACATACGTACAGTTTTAGGAACTGCCTCATCACCGGGATGAAAGAACATAAAACCAGGATAAACGATTTTGGAAATTCAGGCCCCATTGTTGAATTTGCGAAGTTGGGCGTTCCTGGCCTCCGCCAAGGTGTTCCAGTGGGCACGATTGTCTTCCACGCCCTTCAGCAATGGCACGAGACGATCCGAAATCTTTGCCAGGGCCTATGAGAATTCAGTCCATTGAGAAACAATATCAGGATCACACCGACCCAACATTGACCCCCGACTGACCTGGTAGACAGGAAGGCAGATGGAATCGATGAAGGAGACCTGCATGATGGGTAGGTCGTCTCGCTTCTCACGATTCATCAAGTCCTATCAACAAGTGGAACAACAAAACCTCAGGAATCCATGAAGGACTAAAGCAGACTAAAGCAGACTGAAGCAAATACAGATGTTAATCATATCAAGACATTGCCCGAAAGTGGCAATGCAAAAATGTCAATCAGTGGTGCATGAAGCTGAAAAATCACAATTACTAAGGGAGTATATAATTTTTTCAATCAGGTCGCCAGTAATTCACACACCCGACTTGGGATTGACATCCAATCTGAGTTTCAATTTTGTCACACTTTGCCAAAGTATTATATTCTAGAAAATGGAACAGCAAGAAAAGAGACTCACAATGGGAGTGATTTTCAGCTTCTCCTTCTCCATGTCCCCTTGCTCAAAGAACTCGCTTGCCACAAGCTCTGCCACCTACAGACAAGGTGGAATCAGGCCAGATGATTTTGAGGTACCTCCAAGAAGAGCCCATTTAATGGGAGATTAAGCACACAGACCCTTTTCTGAATGGGCCAGGGCTTGGTGATGGCAGCAATGTCACATGCAGTCATGAGCATCCCCCGTAGCTGTTCCCTCTGACTATCCACCGACCAGTCATAACTGCCCGATTCCACCAGCTCAATGAAACGACCTCGATTCCTAAAAGGAAATAGGAACAAATTCATTTCTATGTAAAAAAAAAAAAAAAGTCAAACCCCCTTTAGACTTTAATAGCCCTCTCTGCTTTCAAAACTAAGTATCGATAATACTACCCATATGTGGAACAGTAATTATGCCAAATTCATTTCCAACAAGCGTTCATCACATTCTCAGCATCATCCCCAGGAATAAGTTGCTAATTTTGTTCAAACAAATATGGAAAAATTTACAGGGTGTCCCAAAAGCAACTATGCACTTGATACTGTATGCATTTCACACACATGAAAATTATTTATTAGCAATAATTTACTATTTATTAAACAGCTTAAGGTACTACTTCAGGTAGAACTTTCAGAAAATTAATGGAATTAAAACCACAAGGAATGCACTAGACATACTTTAGCGAATACACTAATATGATCACGGACAGATAAAAATAATTGCTTTTATCATTAATACCCAACAAGTTAAATAATTAAATTCTTATTCACTTAACTCTGCTATTGTTGGACTGAAACATTCTTAATCTGGAACAAAAGGCTCACAAGCAATAGGCCTAACACAGTAGACTAGGAAAGTTACTACAGACAACCCATGAAATATGTAGATACCAGTTACCCAAAAACCTTCAATTGGAGAGACATGACCACTTGGTCTCTGCATGTGCACAGCAGTCCAATTCTGACAGAAGGGATTCTGAAGCCACCTACCTAATGCTGAGTATGGATGTTTATCATTACAGGGTGAGCCAAAAAAAAGTTCCACATTTTTCATTTAGCTGTCACGTATTAACCAATGGAGGGGTGCCTGTAATTTATGTCATTGCGTAGAATCCCTAGACTGAAAACCAACCACACTTCATTTTGTAAGAACTGGTTCAGAAGTTTTTGCAGTGAAAATTTTACAGCCAGAGATGAAAGATGAAAAACTGCCGCCATGCGAACTGGGGATTCTCCCTCTTACCCATACACATAGGCCAGCATTGTACACAAAAAAAAACCCTGGCAAAAAAGGCAGACAAAAACGAAAGAACTCCAGTCAAAACAATAGGGTCTATGCAGAGCCTCACTCCTACTAATTATCAGCTGAACAAACAGGGCCCTTCAGCCTGTTCATAATGGTGTTGGTAGGTTTGTCACACAGCAGTGGTTTTTCACCTCTTGCCTCAAAACCTTCTCTGTGCAAATACTTATTAACTGATTTCAAAATAAAAAAGTGCATTTGATTGTAGCTTAGCCATTCTAAACAATGGTACAGATTGTAGGCACTTGGCTTCATTAGTAAAAATGTTACAGCAGAATGAAAAAAGAGGAACTTTTTTTGGCCCACCCTGTATATAAATCTTTCTACCTTCAGTTGCCAAGCCAGCCTCCTTTGGAAGAGGAATGAGTGGAACAAGTGATAGAGCTGTCTATCTCCTCACAGAAACACCTTGAAGCAACATCTTCCACACTATTTCTTTTTACTCTTAATCTAGAGTACTTTGCCACGATGGCAAAGTACTCATGATCATCCTCATGTGATGGTATACCATGTGATGGCATACTCAAATGAGGTCTACTACAGCAGAGAACAGCATCACATCTGCTTTTCATACAATCCCTTACCGAAAATAAACAGCGAGGTCAGTGGCTAGGATGGCTTCCTCAACGATTCGCACTACTTTCTTGTACTGGTCAGGCCTCAGCTGCGCCAGGATCTGATTCCCTGGGGTGTTGAGAATCATGATGCATTGGTCGAAGTGGTGGTGCTCCATTGTCGATGTTGAGTACAACTGTGCCAGTGGAGAAGACATCCTGACCAAGAAGAATCAGTTGTGATCACAATCAGTTTAACTACTGCAGATCTTTCATCTGTTAATTGAACCTTTACTAATAACATCTCGAAAAGATGAAAATGCACCTAATTATTGGGCAGACTGTAAAAAACAACAAAATGAAGGGAACATTTTTTGGGGGTACAAAGTAGCTTGACTAAGTAACAAGAAATCAATGCGATAGTTTTAGAACTTTGAAACAATATACAATATTTTGGAAGAACCCAGTCAAAATACCAAGTGTAAATGCAAATATCCCAGATGTTTTCCTTTACCATTAGTTACTCTTTGAATGGAGGAAATTTTCTGGTCAAGATGGTGTACTGTGGCAGTGGCAATAATTCGTGTAAGTGTCCAGTCACCTTTATAATTTCTTGTAATTTGTATGTCTTTGCAGATGTAATTGAGTTTTTGATCAAGGAAGGTGAAAAATGTATTTTAAAAAATTAAAGGCTAAAATGAGGTTCACAGAGAATAAATTTTGTTGAACAAATAGTTTTGTGAATGGTGAATTGGCTAGTCAAAATCTGAATAGGAGGATCTCACTTCCTGATGACCACCAATCTGAGAGATTCTACAGCTATTGTGCCCTAACTACTTATTGGTTGAAGAGTTCAATTGAGCTGATTGCTGATTGACAATGAAGTACACCTAAGAGGCTACCAATATTTCAACAGAGGACATCCATCACATATCTTGCATATGTCCAAGGTCAGCACCTTGTGGGTTTCAATTTATAAGATAATCATATCACACTTTGCTAAAAACTCAATCATTACTCACTGCTTTTGACTTGTCCCCTATTGGACAGAAATGGCAAGAAATCAAATATACACACAAACATTTGCACAAAGTATCACCACTCTTTGCAGTGCACTATCTCAACCAGAAAATTGGCTCAGCTTCAATAACTAATGGCAGAGAAAAAGTCCAGGAAGTTATTAATTATCCCCCCAATGTGTGTTCCTAAACTGAAAAAAAAATTAATGGGAGGAAAATCCCCACAACGCCAGCCTGCAAAATGAGCAGTCAACAATGCCCCAAAGTAAAAAATTTTCATTAAATCATTAAAAATGGTATGCATTGAAAATCTGTAAAACAACTAGGCTCAGGAATATGGAATGAAAGAATGTACTTGATTTGGAAGGAGTTATTGGTTCCTCGATGGTCAAGGTCATGGCAGAGACAAGCAATGAGTAATGCCAGGCACTCCAGATCCCCCAGGGCCTGCCACAGCTGTGTTGCCTGTTCCATCACATAATTACTTGATCAATCTTTCTCTGAGAAATAAGGGTTGATCAAAAAGGACCGGTCCTATTATCACTATTACACCAAGGCCTGATGGACCAATAATTTCTCAACCTCTTTGATGCATGAGCAACGAAATAAGCAGAATCATGAAAAAATGTTATTGTCTATTTTACTACTTTTGTACTGAGCAGTGATTGCACCAACTGTTAAGAGATAAAAGATGTCTCATCAACCCCCTGGGCAATGAAAGATGGGGCACTCACAACAAGGATGGAAAACATCATCTGAGCAACATTGAAGGCATGCCTCCAGTTGTGATAAATAACATGTCGATAGTTTTTGCGGATGGAGAGGAGCCAGCGACAGAGCACAGAGTAGTTGATGCTGAAGTGCTCCATCAAGTCCAGGTCCATGAACATCCTCAAGCATGCCTGTATCCAGGAAATGATGCCACAAAACAATGAATATTTCAGGACAAAACCTTCCTTTCATTCTTGTAGAATAATCCTACCCAGACATGTATGGTCTTCAATTTGAATTCTGGACTAGAAGAGGATCAGAATAGACACACAGTTGCAGTCTAAGAATCATTTTTCCTACAAATAAGCAGTCACATACCCAGACAAATTGATTGCTTAGCTCAAGTGAAAAGGCCTGAAGAGCGAGATATTGTGACTAGGATAAGGTGTGAAACTGAAGAAACAGTTTCTTCTGTGAATTGAATTTAAAGGAAAAACTCAGCAAATTATGTAGGTCTCCAGAAAAAGTATCAGATAGCTTACTGGCATAATATCAACAAACAATATGGACACAGATCACCACTAACAACATAATCATGCATTGCTAAGACAAAAGGGAAGGATGTGCATTAATCTCCATCACCTTGAGGGTATCTTCATCCGACAACTCCAAGTCCTCAAACGAGTAATTGTACAGGCGGTAGAAGTGACTTGAGGGGACCACATGCCGCTGCAAAAAAGAAACAATTTCTTATAAGATTATCCATGTTTCAGGCATGAATAATTCTCCTGAATGAAGTCCAATGTTGCTATACCTCCAGTCTGTTCACTTCATCTTGGGGAGCAGTGGCATGATAGCTCAGGACCTCAAGGGTCACCTCTTGCTTTGCTATGGCTGTCATTGCCTGCTCATACCTGAAACATTGATCACAATTCTCAATATAATGTAAGCAAAGGGTGTGAAGACAAAATTATATAACAAAACTAGAATGCCTCCTCACATTTGAGTGTTGTGAATCCCCATTCCACAGAAGATGGCAAATGCTTCCAGAAAATTTTCATCATTCTTTGTGAAGCTTCTCCCTTTGATTTTGTTCACCAACTAAAAGGGAACAAAGAATCTTCACACATCTCAGCAGAAGTTCACTGTTAGCGAGGGAACCTTCTGCCATCAAAGCCTGTTGGCATGATGAGATAAAGACTAGAATGTTCATAAGTCTTCTTCAGAATGAACACCATGTTCGAAAGTAGATGTTCATGAAATATCCCTCAAAGCTGACCTGAATGACCCCAATGATGCGGTGGGAGGAATTCTTGATGGCCATGCTGAGGATGGAGTGAGTGTGGAAGTCTGTGTTTCGATCAGCTGCTGCATCAAAGCGTGGGTCCCGGTACACGTCAGGAATGTTCAAGGTCTGTTGTGCACATTCACATCATCATTATCATAATTTCAATTTAGTGAAAGGCAAGGACATTATAAGGGGCAAACCTCCCCAGTTGTGGCAACATGTCCCGAGATTCCAATGTGAAAGGGGAAGCGATTCTCAAATGGACTTGTCCGAGACTCCCATTCGTCCCCATTTGTATCAGTCACATCCAGATCAAACACCCGGCTGAAGGTGCTCTTTGTGCTCTCATGCAGCAGCATTACCTGCCAACAATGGAGAGGAGCTACAGACTCTATTGCATCAAAAACACAATGTGATGTTTTTGGCTTCAATGTAGTTACCTGACATCGTTGGCACTCAAGCAGGGACTGGGTGAGGGTCATGATTCGGTACACTATCTGCTCTATAGTGCTCTGCTCCTCAAACACCATGCGTGCCAGGTCCAAAAGCACCTGTGATAAAGGGACTCAATTCAATCAATCAGAATTTACCCAAAAGCAATTAATATAAAATTATGTTGGTTTTATATGACATGGTCACTGAACACATGTTCATATCATTCAATTTGAGACTTTGCTTCCTTGAAGTTTAAATTATTGATGAAAGTCAAGACCACATACTGATGAATGAGTAGTGCTGTAACAACAGAAGCCATAGAACAATCTGGACAATTTAAAAATAAAATTTAAATCAGGGCATGCAGATTACACTTGCAGGTAAATGAGAGAATCATGAAGCAGAAGGAGAATTACAGAGCTGTGAAACAAGAGTAGAGGAGAAGATATAAACAATGTACTGGAAGGGTGGGAAAGAAACCCAGAAGCCTCTCAGGAACTGACAGGAGCATAAATAAGCAGAACCTCCTCCTTTTGTCATCAATCTTTTCCTTTTCCCTCTCCCTATAACTTCTACATACATTTTTCCAACCAGAGCAAGCACTCAAACACGTGGAGCAAGATGACTCTGTGAAACAAAGAAATGTAAGATACCCATAATAACCTGGGGAGGAAAACAGAAAATACAAATAGAAAAAATTTCAAATGAAACCCAACTCAGATTTTTCAATTACTGCTATACTAATGGCATTACTTCCGTGAAGAAAATCAATCATAAATGCTCAAAATATTACCAAATGCTTTTATGTGTATAAACCTACACCATTTACATACCATACTTTGGAGGTATAACAGAAAGAGGAGACAAAGTAAAGGTCACATGGAATGTCATCCCTAATGATTTTCTGTAAAACAATAGGAAGGCCCTAATGGCCACACTGAGAGGAAAACAAAGAGGAATTGCCTGGTTCCTTTTGTTCTCCAACTGCGACTTCTCATACAGCTGGGCATTTCTCAGGCCAATCCCACAGAATTGCAGGTAGGCTGCAAACACTTTCTCATCATTCAATGTGAAGATCCCTCCATCTCGCTTGTTTATCACCTGGAAAGTATAATCAAGTATAGTTTATAGAAGATGGAGACAATGTTTGACTCGGGTTAAAAAAAAGAACAACCTCTCAATTATTTTTTGTCTTTCATTGAAAGAAGCATACAAATGACCTAAAGAAAGAACACAATTTCCTTTTCCCTAGTACATACCGTCTCAAGCAGAAAGATAGGCATTTTATACTTAAACCATATTTACTCTAAAGGATATAATTACAGTATAAAAATATGGGTAATAATTACTCAATGAGCACAATTTAGTTCCTAATTAATAACTTCTCAACTCTATAGAGAATGTGTGAAATAAATATTCTTCCATAGTTGGTAGTTGACGTGAAGATTGTACTTAGGACCAGGAGTTAAGTGTGTACCTGTGCCACACCAATGACATCTCCCCCATAGTCCTTGATGGGCATGCAGAGGAGAGAGCGGGTCACATAGCCAGTCTTGGCATCAATATCATGATTGAATCGGGAATCCTACAGGAATGGGAAATTAACATGAGGGAATAAAATTGCATGCAAATAATATGCATAGCCAAATAGGACAAAATGCAGGCAGAATTATGCTCACCAAATAAGCATCAGGAATGTTGACACTCTCTCCAGTCTTAGCAACGTATCCAACTATGCCTACCCCCCATGGTACTTGTATTTCCTCCTTCTCAATCATTTGTTCAGGAGTGCTGCGTGAGCAGACATCAAACAGTGTGGACACTAGGCCTTTTTCTCCTTCCCGCTCCCCTTGAACCAGGAACAGGGAGCAACGATCAGCATTGGTGAGGATGCTCACATTCTGAAGGATCTTGTGACATAGCCATTTGACATCAAGGTCATTGCATATGTCTTTCACCAGTTCGAAAATCAATTCCTTTTCATCCAGAGCCTGGAAGAAGAGAAACTTGCCAGTCAGTTTAGCTAGTGGTCTGATTTACAGAACTTCTAACACTGAAATTTCTTTTTTATCCTTTATTACTACAATCCACAGGGATTTCAACTCTCAGGGCCTTAGCAACCAGGCAATGGATATGGCAAAACTTTTACATAGAGGTTAACAGCTACAATCTTATCTCTTTACAAACAAACTTTTTGAATGTAGACTGCAAACAGACAAAACAAACTTCACTTGAGATCTAAAGATAAGGAATGAAGTGGTGCATAAAGTAATGCAATAGTAATTACTGGAACAGCAATATTTAGAAGAAACTTTCATATCAAAGGCAACATTTTTACAGTGTTCATGCATCCAGAAATATCTTTGGGGAAACAGCAGAAAGGGAAAGAACAATGAGCTCAGGAAACATTCTATGATCATATTGAACTGCTACCCCTTAGGAACAAGTTTAGCTTGCATGTTGTTTGATGATTTCAAATATACAAACAAATACTGAGCATTAGAATAAAATTTCTCAAAGAATTAGGCAGAATCTTACCATCAAATCTTGAGCCAAGATGGCTCCCTTCAGGTAATATGTACAAGGAGAGGGCATTTACAGGCCATGGGAAAGATTTCAAATATCTACAAATACAAGCCATAGCAACCACAATATTGTTAGGAAACTCAATGAAAATTTTCCTTCAGGAATGTAGTAGCTACAATCTCTTAATTTTGCCTACAGCATTATAACTCCATCCTCTTTTTCAAGAGAACTAACACCATGTTGTCATTATTCTGCTCTTTAAGAATACAGTCACCTGTCAATCACATAAAATCAATAAAAGGCTCCATCACTGACCTGAAGTTCAGCACGGCTCTTGCGACGCATCTTATAGACCAGGATTCCACGGGAATTAGAAGAGTCAATGGGGGTGCTGAGGAATGTGGGGCAACCATCAACTGTCATCACCATAGGGGTGAGGAGTCCTCCACGTTCAAATTCTGTGGCTGAGATCTTACGCACAGGGGTGGCAGCCCCAGAATTGGGGCGGGAAGTATTATGGCTGGAAGCACTATCCACCACTACCCGAGGATCTCCCACAGGTTCTTGTTGGAAAGCATGGGCTATGAGCCAGGAGTCTACCATTTGGCGAGTGCCCTTTCTGGATGACAAGAACAAAAAAGTCCCAACTACTTCAAGCACCTTGTACTGACTTGACTAAGTGGCTTTCCTCTAATTACTTCTGAGAAAACTTAAAAGTCTCACCTGTTTAAATAATCTTGGACATAATCAGGATGCTCATCAAGCCAGGCCTCCATCCTGGCACATTCAAAGGCATTTTGTGCGTCTTTTAAATCTTGGGACCCATCATCCAAGGAATTTCTAAAGGAGCTATCTCCTGTGTCCCCTCCAGCCAAACCTTTGTCTGTCATACCACTCTGTTCAAGACCTTCTCCTGATCTTTCCTCTTCACTGATGCATGGCCAAGCTGATCCAAATTAACCAAAGTTATTCATCAATAATCATTAAATTATCAAGACAACAAGAACAAGCCCAGTCTTTCACTTCATAATAAGGTAGGCTGAGGAACTTATCCTCATTTACAAGTACAATAGATAATGGAGTACCAAAATAAAAGAGACTCTACCTAAGAGTCAACAGAGAAAAAAAACTGCCACAATTGAAAAAATAATTACCTTCACTACCCCTTCTTCACACGTACCATAGGCACCACCATATTCCAGCTTCTGCCAGCTTCCAACAAGCCAAGAAAAATTTTACTTTTTTTTTATTCTCTGTTTTAATTGATTTATCTATCCTGCCAGCACAGTGAAGCCCCATTCTTGTGAAGTTCCATTCTTGAACATACATACTAAACTCTGTTCCAAAGAAAATCTGCTCACCTTATCGATGTGAAAAATGTGACAGTTTCAGGTGTGCCTGAATCTGAGATGGTAACCATTGAGAAAACTTTCCTGGGATAATCATGCTTCTGTCAAAAACAAAGCTGGCAGTTGAATATTGAAGCGCAACTGACTCCTGATGTGCTGAAGACCTCAATCACAATTTGGTCATATAAGCATTAACATATTGTAAAACATTACAGGACAAGTATGGGATCTGACTTAAATGTATTATCATTATTATTTATTTATTTATTTATTTATTATATTTAAATTTAAAATACTCCTGAGAGTGATTAACATTTTAGATAAAACTAGGCTATCACCTCCCCTCACACATCACTAGCTCCTCTCTTCACAAAAAAGAAAATTATATGACTGACTATGAAGAGGGAAATTAATAGAATGTCTTCTGCTTCCCCATCCTGGGGGAGTGGGGGTACATTAATGGCACAAGTAAATGTAACACAGTCTCACAATGGCTCATCATTCCCTTACCAAGAAGCATCATTTCGCAAGATCCATAAGGTCCATCAAGCTTTGTAATGAGGGTAAATCTAACACTGTAAAACTCTCATCAGACAGAAATCCTTCTTTAATTCTTTGTGAAGTAGGTGACCAGATTTTTTTGCATCAAAAACTGGGAAAATAAACTGAATTTTAAAATGCATTCCTCAGTCACATGAGGCCTATTTGATCCTCACATTACAAGATGTTCTCATCAGCACTTCAGAACAGAACAAAAACTGGAATAAATAGCCAGAATGGGGAAAATCCCTGAAATGGAATGGAACTTCAAATACTATTCATTGACAGCAGAGGAATGAAAAACCAGTACAGAATGAAATTGATTACACCCAAAATCATAATTTTTTTCCACTTGTTCCAAGTACATTGACCATTTTTTCCTTTGCAATTTTGAAGGAAAGTTAACACTTGAACATCAGTTTTAGAAAATGCATTACCAATAATACATCAGAATTTTAAAAATATTTGGTTTCTGTTAAATTTCCCCATGGAACAGTGAAATAGAATGGAACAGAATGAAATTAATCATCATGGAATGGAACAGAAACCAGTGCACAGAGAACAGGTGAACAGAACAGAATGTAGAGCAAAGAATATTCCTTATACAGGGTATCTGGTTCTTATCTGGTTCTTATACAGGGTATCTGAAAAAACAGTTGAAATTGAAAAATAAAAATAAAAATAAAATATACAGGGTTTATCAAGTAATTCACCGTAAATTTGAAATTTATTTATGAAATGAAGCATGTAGTGTAAAGGGAAATTAGATACTTTTTATAGAAGGCAATCATGGTCAATCCATCCAATTCAGACAACTTTCAGAAAATTCATAGTCTACTATCCTATATATCCATCTGGTTATAAACCCTTGATGCCCATGCAAACTCAGTATTTCTTGTAGCGAAGAGATTTCTCTACATTTAGAGTGAGAAGTATCTCCATGGCATATTTACTATGAAAGAATTTCTTCCATGTTAATCAGCTAAAATTGAAAAAAAAAGGACATTGGGACATTTTTTGCTGTTATCCAGGAAAAAAACTGAGATGCATTTCAAACTATCAAACTAGTTTGGAGCCTCAAAAGTTGGTACAGTCCAAATATATATACTTTTTCAATGAGGATATTTTGCTGTCTTGATATAGGTTAGACCTAAGTCCAAGCCTAGCCAAATGGAACTGAAAATGAGAAAATGTAGGATGATACTGTCCTCACATTAGGTCTAGTCTAACTGACTTTGGAGACTGACCTAAGCACCTATTCTCTTCATTTAATCTGATCTGCTTTGTCTGAAATTTTTGTAAAATTTGACTTTACTCTCATGTTTCTGAAAAATTGTCTTTTGACTTCACTCTCCCATTACTATTTCGCGTAAGATGTTAAAATTAAATGGCACAACACTAACGAAACCTGAAATCGTCTGTCTGAGGGACTAGGCCTGAGCTTACAATACAGAGAGCGCACAATGCCGACTTGCAACACTGGAAGGATAACAGAACTGACACACACCTTTCCCATACTTTGGACAATCGACACCTGCAGCCGGGCTAAGAGCATGAAGAAGCGCCCAACCCTGGCCCATTGTGCTTGTCGACGAGACGGAAGATCAGGGGAGAGTGAGAAGAGAACGCATGACTCACCTGGCCTCCTACGGGTCCAAGCCACTGGTGGCGAGGGAAAATCGCCTGGGGAAGCCAGCTTGACTGGATGGTCTCCCTGCAAGACCTGTCCAGCATGGAAAAACGCAGCTATCACAAGAATCACAGAGGAATCACGCCGCCTTTTCGGCTACAAAAACCCAACTCTCTGCACGACGCCATATTGCACCACATGGCTTCGCGGAATGCAAATAGTGGAGGTCTCTCATAGTGGAGGTCTCTCCGGAATGAATTAGTGCGGAGCAGCCACGCGGTTCTGGCTTCACTCCAATCCCACCGACCGACTCGCGATTCTCCTCCCCGCGATTCATTTATTTGCATCCGGCCGAGCCATCCTGCCCATTGCGACCCTTCGGAAACCCGGATTCCACGCAATAACATCCTGAAACGCCTCCTTCCAGCCCCACAGATTGTAAATCGATTATACATCTAAAGGTCACTCAAAGGCTTAAAGGCGAAATGCGTCGAGCTTCTCCGTCGAAGCATCCGAGAGAAACGAGTTCCATTCCGTTCAAGGAAAATTAAAATGAAGATCCCGGATGTCATTTGTCACGTGTCTCACGTAACAATTAGAGGCGTCCTATGCTAATCATACATCAAGATCCGTCGTTATTCGTGCGGCGGGTCGTGAAAACGTGTTGCACTCCCAGTTTTTTTTTCCTCTTAGATACTTTTCGAAGAATTTCCCGATGAACCGCGATGCACACACGGAGGGACGAGCACGTGCATGCGACGGGGGTGAGTCGAGGGCGAGTCGAGGGCCACTGTCTGGGGGGAGTCGAGGACGTCAACGTCGAAGATAGCGTCGAGTGCGGAATCTTACGACTCTCGGCTCCGGTTATCTCAGTTGATTCTTCCGAGAAAACTCCCGGCTGCAGTCGGCCAGCACGATATGATTCCTTCCTTCTTCAAACAAGAGATATCCTATCGGAAGTGATTGCATTCGGCAGCGCTCGAACGACGCGTTTCAGGAAGCTTCAAATGGGTCGCGAGCCCTTCGAAACGGCTGAAACTTCCGCGGAAGACTTAAAAAAAATTAAATGATCACTTTCGTATTATTCGAGTTAGAAGAGAAAAAAACAAACAAAACAATGCATTGCATCTGTGGCTTACATTAGCATTGCAGAAAAGAGTTGGCGTTTGGAATGAGGAGACTGATTCGAATGAGCACAATGACTTCCAAGATGAGAATTTTTTCTCCCTTGAATCGTATCGTCCCATTGATTCCTCCCAGGAGACGATCGAGGAAAGACGCTTCACTTCCCGGAAATTCTTTGTCTCCTTTTATCGCGACGGAGCGCGAACGAGCTCGATAACGGCTACGACGACGACCACGTCACACTGAGGAAAGAGAGGAGGTCGGAGGGGAGGTCACCCCCGGCCGGTGGACGAGGCCCGTGACGTCACGGGATCCGAGCGCTTTCATTGGCTGCCTCCGGGTTTCTTAGGCTCGGCCTCGCGTTGGCGAGTTTCCCGCTTCAGTCTGCTGCCGTGTCTGCTGCTGCGATGTTTCTTCGCGGCGAAGTCGTCGCAGGTTCCACTTCACCCTTCACCCTTGTTCACCCTTCCACCCTTCACCCTTTCACCCTTCGCATTGAACCGTGTCGAGTGGTGACCTTTCCACACGAAGGACACTTTGATGGTTCATTGCTTCCTTGGCAGATGAAGAGAGTCTGGGAGGTTTTCATCTCTGCAACTCCGGTTGCATCGACGCAAACGACTTAGACAACATGAAAAATCACCATTTTTTTTTTGGCATGGAGTAGTCTTGCGTCGATGTTCGTCTCAGATCCTGACTGCGGGCTCACGTGGTAAAGCTCAGAACTTTTTTATTTTTTTCAAACGTGGAGTCGTTTTCTCGTATCCGTTTTGCGTTCAAAATGGCGGCGAGTGCCGATTGCAATCGAACGGCGGGTAACCGACGAGAAACCAAGGGGGTAACCGATCGTAAAAGATTCTTCGAAGATGGGACAGAAAATTCGGCACGAAAAATCAAAATGAATGAGAAGTTTCATGCATTATTTGTTGAAGCGATTCCTGGGGGAAAAAAAAAAAATTCCTGACAGAAATGTGAAATTTCCCGAAATTTCGAAAAACTGCGCGGATCTGGACTGATCCTTGCACTTCGCCACCACGAAATAGCGAAATTGCGACCGATGAGATTTCCCACGAAATCTGCACAGAGAAATCTGCATAAAGAAACGATATTTGGCGGCACATTCCACTCGATGAGAAACCTTTAACGCTCGCAATTTCCTGCAACGTGCGGAACGGAGAAATCGAATTCCAGGGACCGAGATGACATTTTTTCAACCTTCCGGTTTGGTCCAGGTTTAGGACAAAGCGGCTGGAAGCGATAAACCGGTCGTTGCAGCCGTAATCGGACGGGCCGATGCGTCGCGAAGGCCGAAACGAAAAATCCGCATAGCATGAGCGAGAAATTCATGAACATTAATATAATTGTCATTAATATTAATAACATCATTAATGTCCTTATTAATGGAGACCGAAATCGAGAGCCTTGGAGCCTCCGCCCGCTTTTCGGTTCTCGACGACTGATTCCTCCGAAAAAGGTGATTTGTTTTTGGTTATTTATTTCAAAATACGGAATCTCCAGTTGCCAGCCGTCTCGTATATTCGGTAACACATGTTATCGAACACATGAATATATAGTTATTCTTGCGCCGACGCGATGATGTTACGTAACGCCTCTCGAGGGAATCGACCGGGCCTTCTCCGTATCTTGTCGGTCGAAATGCGCTGCGATCTAAGAGCATCGGATTTGATGGAACATTAAATTTGGCGGATGAGCGTCCTGGATCGAGCTCCGGCGAAATTCGCGATTGCGCTCGCACCCGTCGGGTCCTTTCCTTCGGGAACGGGTTCGCGGCACGGTAAGGAATGACTTCTTCGATTGGGTTTATGGGTCGACCTAGGCCTTGAGGTGGCCTCGAGGTGGCCTCGAGGTGGCCTTGAGGTGACCTTGAGGCGTGATGTCATCGTTGATGTCATCACGCCTCGTTGGTAAAGTCAGTCGGTGCAGGATTCTACTAAGCAAAAGCACCCATCTGTTCGATTGGATTCCTGCCGAGGTTAATCTAACCGCGGTTAAACCCTTAGTTAAACTCAGGTTAGGAACTCCGTTCTCGCAATCGAAAGTGGCTTTAGCGATTGTATTCCGATTACTGACGTCGGACATCCGAATTAAGGCCACAGCCAGATGGACCCTAGGTCTTCGGTTTGAGGGTAGTAATGTAATTAAGTTGCAATGCAATTAAGTTGCAATGCAATTGAGTTAAGGTTAAATTCAAAGTTCGAGATGCGGGATCAGAGTGGTTTTCGGTCGTGGGTCGACCCCAATCCTCGAAACGGCATGAATAAATGAGAAGATTGGACCGGGAAGGATAGGGAAGCAAATGGCAATGGAACGGAAAATTGCCAGGCAATTTCCCTCCCGGATCCCGCCCGTGATTCACGGGCTTTGGAATCGGGGCATCGATTCTTCCTCGAATTCTGCCCCGAATTCTGCCTCGAATTCCGTCGCGAAATGCATCGACTGAAACTGACGAGAAACGAGGAGCCACTCCGAAAGCTTCCCGGAGAAAGATTTTATTATTTTAAAAAAAATAATAATAAAATATAAGAAAGTAAAAATTAAATATTTAAAAAGTGCTCCCGATCCCTCCCGATTGCTGGAACTGCAAGAAATTCCGACGGAAAAAAAGCCCAGATTCATTGCAAGTTCATGAGACTGCCAGTAAGAAATTAATCGCGCACCTGGGAACATAATTATTTGATGCCAAAGGAAACGGACTCCCCAGAGTAAACGCCATACGAAGGAGTTCCATTCCCACTCAACTCCCCCCATGACCCCCCATGGCCCCCCCCATG